GGTCCAGGGGTGCACACTGCGATCGGATCCTTGCGGTTGAGGTCCAGGCGTGCACACTGCGATCGGATCCTTGCGGTTGAGGTCCAGGGGTGCACACTGCGATCCGGAGCTGGCGGAGGCGGAGGCGGGGGAAGAACAGCTGTGATAAAATCTAACAACCCTCACCTGGCAGGTGGGGAAAAACTGCAATGTGCATCGAAGTGTAGCAAGCAAAATGCGCACTGCAAAAACACAATTGTCTATAGAAATGCAAGCTGAGGATAGCTGAGGTGTTTGCATCTGTCTCCTCTGTGGGCGGACCTCAAGATCGCGTAAACAACTTTTTCTTATGCATTTTGATGCCATTCTTGTCCTTACCGTGTCCCAGGTCCCGACATTTCAGGTATGTGCCGTGCACTTTAGCTGACAGAATCTTGGACCTATGCACCGCCAGTACATAGGTTTCAGGGCTCTGAGGACCTGGCTAAGGCCAAAGGGACCTTGTGGGCCGCTTGAACCTGGTTCTGATCATCGTTGCATTCAAAACTGAATCTTTTCATCTTTTGCCCAAAATTTCGGGCGGCTCCACTCATCGGGGCTCACACTTTTGGAATTCGATGACTGTGATGCCTGTCGTGTTCGTCTCGGTTGCAGGCAAGCTTTGAATATGTGCACGTGACACGTATACGGCAATACTATGTAATATTAATATATATATATATGTATAAGTTGCATGTAGTTACTTTACTTAATATACAAGATTATATAAGGTCCAAACACCACATTTGGTTGGCCTGCTGCACAGCCCGCGCTGCAGCACGGAGCTCAAATGGCAGCCCCATTGCATCCAGAATGCCTCGCACAGCTGCGCGCAAGTATGAAATGTCCGCTGCAAATTGCAGGACCATGTCCGGTCCATGTCTGGGGCTGCTTCAGCACTAGTTTAGTCAGCGCTAGATAAGTTCTTGTTGATATATTGAACACACTTTCAGTGGAGGCTGGAGGCTCTACTTCTTAGCCGCACCAATCTGTGAAAAGTTTGCCCAGATATGCCTGACTCTTCCATTTTCACCTTTGTAGCGATCAAGCCTGTTAGGACCTGAAAGCACTCAGAAAGTCAATTCTACAAATCGAATCACCCAAACAAAGCAAATCCCTTTACTTTAGATAAAGCAGCGCATGCAAATAAGCGGCATCTGGAAAGTTGATCGGATGAGCCAAGCCTCCGGTCAGACGCAAAATAGCTCACGCACGATTCATGCGGTTCCTATAGTTTTTGCCACGCCTCGAGGCGAAAAGCCCTTCTCGATCAAGAATTCCCTCACCTTGGAATCTACCAGTTGGGTGATATTGAATTTCTATGAATTTCTGAATGCAACATTGAATATAAACAATAGTTTGACAAAGTACCAATACCATTGATAGTGCATAATATGCAGCTCATTTGCCATGACACAAAGCGAATTGTCGAGCTCTCCCTAACGTCAGACTCCGTCTTGCAAGGGCCCCAAATGGTCCCAAATCTCAGCCATGCACCAGGGGTCCCAAATCAAGGGCAAAAAGCTGATGATTGCCCACCTGGCCACTTGGGTTGCGGGGACAAACATGGAGGCAGGACTTGAATTACAATCCCTGGGCTCAGTGGTCACCCAAGTATCTATATTTACATCCCATTTGGTATATCATGTTGCCGCTGCACTGTATGTGTATTTAACTATTTTTTATATACATATATACATAGCGGAAAAACCAACAGTATTACACAATTACACATATTATATAATAATACAATATATATATATATATTATATTATATTATATTGTATTATATATGTTCTGCATCGTGACTATCATGTGTTGCCGAAGTCATTGTCAATACCTGCCGGGCGTGCCAAAATCACTGGCCGGCCGACCTCTTTGGGATCCGGAACGCCATCGAGGCCAAACCTGCGAGTCCCAGCGCTCATAGAATCGGCGCGAAAAAGCCCCTAGTAGCGTCCTTGTTCCTAGTAGCGATGCCAGGAGCCCCCAGTAGCTTCTTGCTCCTAGTAGCGATGTCCTTTGCTCCTAGTTGCCAAAGCACCTCCTTGCGCCAGTTGAAGCATCCCAGCTGCAAAACACTGGGGACCTGGCAGGGAACAAATGTGGCATTAATCATTGGAGAGCATGCGTTAAGCCGATGGAAACCGGCTGTTGAGGCATGCCGGATTGGCACCAATGCAGCAATTGGCTCAATGTTCCGTGAGCCCTGCTCCAGCACATCCAATGATGGATATTGAAAGTCATCTCGGCAACCGGAAAGGATTCGGGACGCGTATTGCTCGCTCTCTCGATGCACAAAGTCAGTTCTGATTTCTGTTGAATCTCAACTCTCTGAGGTTCAATCCAACATAGTTGCGTCTCTTGGGTTTCCTCATTGCGTAGCTCCGTTGGCACTTGCACTTGGTGCAAATGTTCATGCCAGGCATTGCGACAGCATGGACTGTGACCAAGCAAAAATTTGCGCTGCAAAATTGGCCACACTCTTGCTTTCTTGTGATCAATGCCCTTGGCCACTGCTCACCCCTACCAGTACCACGAATCTCAGGAATCCAAGATCGTGGCTTCATAATAGGTGAGTCCTCAAGGGGCGTCGTGTTGGAACGGTCAGATGTCATAGTGCATCTGGTCAATTTGGCGTTTAATGCAGCACCACGGTTTCTTTGATCCTTTCCACTTGCCAACTTTGTTTGTTCACTTGCTGCTCCGCATCGGTCCTTCAGCATCTGAGCGACATTGATACGGCGGTCTAATGGCGCATGCCCAGACTTTGTGAGCTCAATTACCTGGCTGCGGGGACAGCATGTTCTCTGCACATCGGGATGTTTGAGGTTGAATATGGCATGGAAGAATGTCAGGGTTGCCAAACATGTTTTGGATTGTTTCGGCTTCGGTGGGCCTACAACAACTCAGGTTCAGTCCTGGCGGATCTTGAAGCATGACACTGACACAAAACCCCGCCGCACCGCCCGCATCGCGGCCTTCAGGTTCTTGTCACCACAACGAGCTTGCAGCAGGCCCCTGCTTATCAGTCATAAATCACAGTTGTAAACAACCAAGCCACATACGTAATAGCAATGTTGGAGAACAAGTCTTCGCCACTCATTATCCAGCTATAGAGCCCCGAGTTGTTGCCAAAAAAAAGCGACAGAATTTAAAACAGTGCACGCCGGAAGCCCACACATAGTGCTTATTTTCGACTTTAAACGACCGCCTTCTGAGTCTATCAACAACGTGGGGTGATTTTAGGTAGGTCATGGTAGTAATTTAGGTTACTAAGAAGACCCTAACTGTCCACCTCTGTCCACCTTGGCTGTCCACCCTGCCTGTTCACCCTGTCCCTGTCTGTCCACCCATGACTCGATACAACAATGTAACACCAAACTTCGCGGGCACCGCCAATCATCCCGCTCCCCAGCGACACGCCGCGTTTACAACAGCATGCGTTCCTTCCCCCAATGGCACAGACTCACGCAAACGCACTTTCCACGGAGGCCGCACAAAACCGCATGGCACAGCGACATCACAGCTCGAAAGTTTTAGTCTAATGAAGAATCACTATTTTAGTGTAAATACTTCTAATGGTTTTTGTAAGGGGAAATGGGGGACCCGGGATTAATTACTGTTTATCAATTTGGTTATGAGAACTTGTGCCAGGACCTCAAGCGCTCAGCTTCCTTGTCAGACATCAGCAATCTGTCACCTGTAGTCAAAGCATGCCTGGAAGCACACTCCACCATAAACGGGTTCCAAAATGCATTCCAAGAAGGATACTCGCAAACGGATGCGAACGGTATGTTAGGACTGCTGCTATCCGAGGCCAACAGGAGCGTAGGCCTTGGTGATTGGTGGTCAGGTCAAATGGCACCAATCTGAAGTGCAGAACATTTCAGAACAATTATATATATATATACCTAAATGCACTTGAAAGAACTTGACTAATTACAGGATTCAGAAGTTTCATCAAACTGCTGTTTGAAGGCATTGGCTCAGCAGTCTTCAAAAGCAGTGTGCAGCAAAAGGGGGTTGATCTCCCATCCCCAATGAACCGATGAAGGTGCACAATGATCCAAAACATCCCTTCCACCTCTCTCATGAGAGCACCTGGCAATGTGATCTGCATAGAATTCCACACCAGGCGCCGACTGTTTTCACGCAGCAGTTCGCCACAATGCTGGTTTCGCGGCAGGAGATACAAAGAGCGAAGTGGGTGAGCTTGTTGCGTCTTGTCCTGCCCAACTTACTTGTACACGTGGCAGTGAAAGCCATCCAGCCTTCAAAGGTATCAGAGCAAAGCTTTGGATAGCCTGGTTTGGATCGGACCCAAGAGGTGCAGCAACTTGATAGCTAACTGGTCCGGACAACAAGTACCTGTCTGACACCTCTCCTTCTCCTTGCAAAATCCGAACTCGAATCTCCTCTTCGGTCGAAAATGACATGTTCTTCACTTGAACCCGCACCAAAACAGAAGCACCAACTGTTCCTGTTGAGCATACTTCAAGCTCAACTTGGGGCGAGGTCGGGCTCTGCGGGATAGACTCCAAAGGCCATTCCACAATGGCATTGGGCAGCGCTTGAGGCAGTGATTTTCTTCGACCCTCTTCACACCAAAGAAAGAATTCCTCTGTGCCCTTTCCTCTCTGAAATTGTACCTGCAAACGTGGCTTTTCTGATGGACCGGGTGTCCAAAGAAAGGAATGCTGAGAGCCGCTGGCCATGAAGCCAGGTGTTCCCAAGCACTTTGCCATTTCCGAGTCACCCAGGCATACCTCCACAGACTTTGTCTCAACCGGTGTTGACAAACATTTCAATGAAAAGGATACCGGCCTACGCAGTGCCAGTGCTGTAGCAATCCGCTCCTCCGCAATTTGCAACTTAATTGCATGTTGGAAATTGATATAGCAGGAAGGGCAGCTGATCTGAGCACCATCCAACTCAAAAACTATTCTGAGCGCCATCTTGCATGGCCTTCCGCACTGCACGGCAATTGGCCATGCAAAAGCTTCGTTGGCTCCAGGCGTCTTCAACTCACCAGGCTTGAATGCCAAAATGCCAGCTTTGGGAATTAAGGCGTTGGCCACATCTGCAACGAGGATCTTGGAGCCCAACGGCATCATTTCCCATGGCTCAGATATCAGCGACACACTGGGCAAACAAGAACTCTCCAATGGACTGAATGGTGCAGGTGGAGTAGATGGAGCAAGCTCGGCATCCTCGTCCACAATGTGAAAGCGTGCAGAGAGGAAAAGTGGAGAACTGACGGAATGCCCGTTGGGTGGGGAAAGGGTAACATAGAGAATAAAGCACTCGGAGACCAAAGCTTTGGCTGGATCGACTGGAAAGAATAGGTCCGATTTGACCGCCTTCATCTCGCTCCATTGAGCGCCAAGGCGGCCACGTGGCAAACTTCTGGAGAAACTTTCGGGAAAACCAACCTCCTCCGCACCAGGAAGTCGAAAGTTGAAGCCAGCTGTTTGGCGACGATTGCTAGCGCCTGCAGGAAAAACGTGGAAAAGCGACTGGGCGAGTTGATGGATGAAAATTCATGGATGTTAGGAGAACATGCCAAGTATACTAAGTATATACTGCTGATGCAACTAAGCAAATAAGGCTGCTTGGATCACGTATGTCTCTGAAATCTTGGCAAATATAACTTCCAATGTCTAACATTCGTTGGCCTAACTGCTGCAAACCCAAGAACTTACCCAGAATCAGCACGCCTACGAAAATGATGGCGGGTGAACTGCTCCAAGTGAATCGGACAGAATTGACATTCGCCGGCAAACCCTTAAGCTCCAAAGGCTGCTCTGCCTGAAGCGATCGCAAGGTGACGACCAACTTAAGCTGAGCTAATCTCCCCTGAAAAAACAATAATTACATACAATATAGCCACACAGAAAATCCTACATCATACAGTACCAGTTCATTCATAGCGTGCATGCATTTTTTCCAAGGTACCCGCCACGTTGTCATCTCCAAGTCCACAGAGATGTTATCATCATCGTCGGTTTGTGCAATACATGTTCCTAGCTCCAGGTCTACAGGCAAAAGGGACGTATCAAATGTCAGGGTAAAGTCCAACAGCCCCTGACTCAGGACGCCCGAATGCAGTTGTATTTCCACTGAACCAGCTGGCAAAGGATCTGCGGCCTTCCGCACCAGCTCAAGGAGCTCCTCTCCCTGCCTTGGATCATTCCGAGCAGGAACAGTTTTCATCATTAAATACTCGAAGGCGTCTTTGGCGAAGCTACTCCTCAACTTGTCCGTGGGAGTAGGCTCCAAGTCATCCAGACTTCCAGGAGCTGCTCGAGTGGATGAGCAAAGTGCAGGTGGTGGCAGCCCGAGTTGTGCGCATCCACAAAGCAAAGACCGTTCCAGGAAAAAACGCTTGAAGGGCGGCCAGGATGCTGAGGAGGGAAGGGTCTTGTCTCGAAGCCTTTCAAATAAATCTCTTGCTGCTTCCTGATGGCTGCTGCCAGGGTCACACAAGTAGGCCTCTGCAACCCGAATCTGCGAAGATGTGACCCAGGCAGTGAAGCCACGCTCTTTCCCAGCAGCTTGCGCCCGAATCAAGAGCTTCAAGCTTCGCTCAGCATGCTCTGAATACTTCTGTGCCTGGTCAAGAACCAACCGATCTTGCCCGCAAGCATTTGGATGGCCTGAATGAAGTCTAACCTACTATATAATCTATATATCTAGATTAATCTATTAAGATATATAAACAGTTATTTATGGTTATTTGATGATTGAATTTCAGTGCATGCCTTTGTGTTCTCATCATGGCTCGATTGAAAAACAAATCAACTAGCATGAACACCCTCAACTCTTATTCAATTCGTAGGAACTTCAACTTGAAGATTTGCTCTTCCGGAATGTGCATGCCCTATTCCATGAATATCCATGAATTGTGCGCATCCTGCTGCCTGGGCCAAGGCCAATCGCAGTGCCACCTCTTGGTTTGGCATTGACACCTCCGAGGGGCGCTCCAACTTTCCAGCCTGGACGCAGCAACATCGAGCTGGGTCTTCCCAGTTGGTGTATGCCGGTATGAGTATGTATGAGTCATATCACAGCATTTCGTCTGGACAACAAATCTCACCACCAGCCGTCAGCAAAGCCCTCCAGCCGCCATTTCCAGCCTGGCCCACGAAAGGAGATGGGATGAGCTCCCCACCAGCATCGGAAGGCCGCAAATGTCCAGGCTCCAAGAATCGCACGGCCCACTCTCCTTGGAAGCGCCAGCAAAGCAGAACAATTGAACTTTCTGTTTATTCATGTGGAGCCAGCAACGAACGCAAGTGATTTGACTTGATTTGACAACATATGATACAATTTATGTATCAGCGCGACTATTATATATATATATATACATATCAAGCCAAGGTGCGCAAACGCCGTGCGTACACAGCGGCTGCTTGGAAATGAAAGCCGGGGAACTGCCAAATGTCACCGGTATCGATAAGCCTCTCCATTTTGGGGGGAGGGCGGACAGGGTGTTGAATTCATAATTACAGAGTTGAGGAGACGAGATGTCAACTAGGGATGGCTGGAGGATGTGCATGCCAAGTCTGCACCTATTTGGTGTTGATCGGGCTTGACTATGCTTGACCAGCACCACAATTCATTGAAGTATGCTTGTCGGGTCGTTCTCGTGGTATCAGGTATAAACACTTAGGGGCAAAGAATACAAAGCCCAAACTTCTCTGGCAAAGCCAAGCGACAAAGGAGCTTTTTGTATGATAATGTCCAACAAGTCACCTGGCGTCTCTGGCATATCCACCATTGCAAGGTTGAAAGTTAATGGGCTCCACTCGTACCAAGCTCAGACCTTTAGATTCCTAAAGCAGCTTCAACACACCTTCTGAGGCAATCAATTTGATGTACACTCTTGCTGTCAAAAGGCCGAATATCTGATGGTTCCTCAGTAGGCACCAAGGTAGGCCTCAACCTGCATTTATTGGCCAATAGCAGTTTGGTTGATGAAAGCCTTTTTCACGCTTTTTCATCTTGTATGATTTTTGCGGGTATGTACTGCTTGTTCTGAATCACGCGTTGATTGCATCGGAGGCGTATCAACAAGCCAAACAAGCACCCTTTTGACGATTTGACGAACGATCGTGGGGGACTAGACTCTAGCCTGATACCGTCTTGGTCCCATTTAAAGTGGGACTCTCGCGCAATCGGCATGCCTGTCTCATATAGACTTCACCCAAGCAAGCAACAGCAACATCGTGTATTGAAAGTGGACTAATAACTTAAGGGTTGATCACTAATGAGCCTCAATGGGAATGTGCAATGACATTCAACGCTTAGACTAGACTATGCCCCACGATCGCTTCCTCCCATCCAAGAATCAAGGACAGCCAATGCCATTTCTGCCATGCATGCTCACCATCAGGACAGGAACGTCTTAACGAGGCCACATGAATGCGACAGTGGTGAACAGCAGCTCCAACGTCGTGAGAACCGAAGTATCGCTGGTACATCCTGTGCACACAGCAATTGAGACGAGTAAATGGATGCAAATATTACCTGCATGCACTGGCCACAGTCCAGGAAAAGGCTGGAACCCAGGCAAGATTGTCGTTGAGGCACTGAAGTTACCTTCTGGAGACCGCCTCTTGGGACAAACAAACTCCATCCAGTTCCAGTAGTGGGAAGCTATATACTAGGAACAAGTGCATCGCTTCTAGTAACAAGTGCCTTACTAGTAGTAACAAGAAGCTATTGGAAACGAGTGCCTTACTAGTAGTAACAATAAGAATTTAATTAGAATTGTAATTACTAGCAAAGGAATAGACTAGGACCGCCTTTTGGGACTTCCATATGTTGGAAGT